TGTTTGGATGTTGCTCCGACCAGTTATTAAACCTGTGTCCTGCCAGGTGGCAGTGCACACCTCTATCTACTCGACTACTAGACCTTGTCGGAATAAAAAAAAAAACTGTCTCTAAAATCTGCAAATTGAAAAAGTAGTTGGATATAAACTACTTTGAAACAAATGCTGCAGGCGAATGAACGGCTCTTCAATACTTCCTTTTTATCTCGTTTTTATTATCTTGTGATGTACCTATGGTGCACCAAAAATATGCAGCGATTTCCATTATCAGGTTACATAACTGATGACAGTACGAATGAAATTTCCAAAGATTGATTTCGCGTGTTATTCTATTCGTTATAATAGTTTTAGAATCAATGAATTTAAGACTGAAAAGATGAAAATACATTTATAGTTTAAAAAAATAAAAACTCGCTTTTATTACAATGCGAACTAAAAATACCCGCCAAAACGACGCCAAAGCGGTAATTACTTATTTCCCAAGAGGTCTCATCGAACGCAGAGATAAATAGTGCATACGAACTAAACATTTTGAAGTCTCTAAGTTATCCGTATGCGTTAATATCATGAAGCAGACATTCGCAAAAAACAAATTGAAACACAAAAACTTGATTTTGAATATTTTATTTTCGAATTTTTATTGGTAATCAAACAACCGTCAAAGTTAACTCCAGATGTTCAATGTGGACGATTGTGTTTTCCAAAAATCTCTTTTTCATTTAACAAGTTAAATGGGTCCAATTTGAACGTAATATTATTATGAGACTGGACAGGTCCATCCCAGTTTTGACGGAGCTGGTAGTATTGCTGAACGTATTAGTGTCGCGGTAATAATAAATTCAGACATCGCGACATAGAAGCAACTTTTTTTCGTGCTGTCGAAAGCGGCTTTGAAGTCGACAAATGGATGGTGAGTGTCAATTAGAGATGGACATATTTCAGCCAGTGATGTAGCCAGGATTTTGGAAAAGGGGGATGATAAAAAATGTTCAGCTCTAACTTAAGTATAAAACACACAATGGTTAGAGGTGTCGCATGTACTGTTACATTGTTTTTTCACGCTTTCCTGGTTATCAGGTTATATGGTTATGTAGTTATATTTTTATTCAGTTTACAACAACAAAGTACACTCCACAATAATAATTTTTAACCAGATAACCTGTCAACATCGTCGCATGAGCTAATCAGCTCTTTTGCCAGAGTGCCGGGCAGGGCTGCCAACTCGGTTCAAACCGTGCCATTTTTGGCCCTATTTTATTTCATATGGCACTGAATTTTTCAATTAGGCATAAAGTGCCAAAATGGCACTTTTGAAAAATAGTCGTATTTATTTCAATACATTTTTGTGAAATCCTTTGCTTGTACTTCTTTTTTTAACTAAGATTTTCTAATTTCCCTAGTGTATACAACTGGTTTATTTTACTTTGGCATTGGACTTTTGTTTTAAGAATGTGTTTCTAAGTTTAGTGTTAAATGGGAAGAATTAAAAGGAGTGGCACTTTTATTTTTCTATTTGGCACATTTTGGCAATTTTTTATCCTTTATTTCGCACTTCATAGCTAAGTATAGTTGGCAGCCCTGGTGCCAGGTCACTTGCTCAATTTGGTGAATACCCCTAATGTAAAACACATTTCTGACTAACTCATAGAAGTCTGAAATTATTTTTTTACTGCATCCTATAAAGTACATACATACACATACATATGTACACACTTACAAAAATAACATGTTACATATTCACATAAAAGCTTATATACAGAAAGGGAAGAATGAAAACGTGCCTAGAATATACACAAATAATTAACAAAATAAAGAATGACTTCAACAAGATGACTCATACTTACATGAATGCATATGTGTGTTTACAACAACGATCTTGAATGTGTGCTAAGCTTGGATTCTATAGAAAATTAATTAACAGCGGCTTTAGATCATACATTTCTTAAGTCTTGACGGAGTCGAGAGGAGTTTTTGAGTCCTGCTAAAATTTACGTTTTTTAAACAAAACACGTCTTTCATTAAAAATGCATTTTATTAATTATTATTAATTTGTTAATGTCTCTCCTTTTGGCCAAGCTGAGAGGCTGATGGCTTTTTAAGAAAAGTTTTTTCATTACCAAAGTATACTCTGAGGCAGAGATGGGCGCCAGAATAACTATTCAATTCCAATCCCGTCCATGCCGACATTCAATGTTTAAGTCGCAGATCGCCCATCCCAACGTTTCAGATTTGCACCGCGACCCATGGGACCCGATATTATTACTTAATAAAATTCACATCGCTTTCAAGCAAATTTTAAATTATATACTTGCATATAAGTATATACACATATGTAAATTTTTTGGAATATTCTAACCTTGACATACTGAAAAACAAGGCGGCGCCATGAGAAATAACGCCCCTTGGAAAAATTTTGCATACGAGTTATAAAGCCTAACGATCTTATTACAGTACAATACAAAAAGTAAAGGTGTTGTTAGCAATTTAAAATAAAATTTCATATACATTCATACATACATATACCTACATGTATACATCCATACATATGTGTGTACATATCTGTAAGATTTTCTTTTAAATCTGTTGCTTTGGCCTTGATCTTCTTTGGTGTACGTTTGAAGGGCAGAAAACTCCACTCTCCTCTACTTACTCTAACACCTACACTCGCTATTGCCTAACAGGAGACATAAAAAAATCTATGTACTCGCGAATCTAGTTGTCATAGGTATGTATATAGTTTAACTGTGTTTTTAGTTTCCTTTATCCTAGCATCAGAATTTTTTAAGAGGACTTTGAAATTTCAAGGATATGATAATTTAAAAAATTATTTTAAAAATTTCCTGCAATGTAGAATAACAATAGGGGTAACAAATGAATGAGAACATTTCGTAGAACTGGAAACATAAATTTAGGTGCACAAAGACGAATATGTATTGAAAACGTCCTTTTAAAATTTCATCCTTAAGTATCCTTGAAAATTTGCAATATTAATTTATGAGAAAGTTATACTTTAAGTCCACAATATACATATACATATGCACGTCTACTCTCTCGAATTTCGTTTTTCTAGCTCGGTTAGTTTAGGATAAAAAAAATCAATTCAAAATGGAATTCTGGAATATCCTTAAAAATTTCCAATATTTGATAAAAAAAATTATACGTTGGGTACCAATATATACACTACCACAACACCGTTAACAACAATTTTATTTATTCTATTTTAGAGATAGGACTTGATCCAAGACAAAAAAACTTGAGTGAAAACCAAAACGAATTCGCTTCTTAAGAAGTACATAGATTGTGGGATACACGATCAAAAGCTTTTGAAATGTCAGTGTAGATGACATCAACTTGGCTAGTCGGTTTGGAAGGTACCAAACGTTTTTCCGTCCCCTGTTGACTACAAAATCTAGGTAGTTTAGAATCTAGACATAAAACAAATTTTTATACCCGAGCGCACTTGTGCACAAGGGTATATTAATTTTGTTCACATAACGGTTGTTTGTAACAGCCAAAACGAATCGAGATAGATATAGACAAATGTATACATAAATGATCAGGATGAAAAAAGAAATCGATTAAGCCATGTCTGTCTGTCCGTCCGTCTGTCCGTCTGTCCGTCTGTCCGTCTGTCCGTCTGTCCGTCTGTCCGTGTACACGATAACTCGAGCAAAAATTGAGATATCTTAACGAAATTTGGTATGTAGGTTTCCCTTAATCCAAGGTAGGTTGGTATTGAAAATGGGCGAAATCGGACTTTAACCACGCCCACTTCCCATATAACGGTAATTTCCAGAAATACGAAAACTGCGATATTTTAGTAACTACTAAAGATAATTCACTCAAAATTGATATTTATAATAATTTTTTGACGAAAAATAAGAATATTATAAATTTTTGGAAAATGGGCGTAGCCACGCCCACTTATGGATATATGTGTATATCTTGGTAACCGCTGCACCAATTTCTTCCAAACTTGGCACAGTTGTTGGCCTTCACACAACATACTAAATGGCCGAAAATTTTTAAAATCGCTCAATAACCACGCCTACTTCCCATATAACGGTAATTTTCAGAAATACGAAAACTGCGATATTTTAGTAACTACTGGAGATTATTCGCTCAAAATTGATATTTACAATAATTTTTCGACGAAAAATAAGAATATTATAAATTTTTGGAAAATGGGCGTAGCCACGCCCACTTATGGTTACATGTGTATATCTTGGTAACCGCTGCACCAATTTCTTCCAAACTTGGCACAGTTGTTGGCCCTGGTACAGCATAAAAAATCGCCGAAACTTTTTAAAATCGGACAATAACCACGCCCACATCCCATATAACGGTAATTTAGAGAAATACAAAATCTTCGATAAATCAGTAAATATTGAAGCTAATTTATTCAAAATTGATACTTGCAACAATTCTTTACCAAGAAATACGTTTATGGTAAAATTTTGGAAAATGGGCATGGCACCGCCCACTTATGATCACATATATGTATATCGGTAACCGTTCTACCAATTTATACCAAACTCGGTGTGGTTATTGTGCTTGCCACATATAAGCAAAACGTTGAAAATTATTGAAATCGGACTAAAATAACGGCCGCTTCTCATATAACGGTAAATTTCAGAAATGCTTGAAACTTCAATATTTCGAAATTGAAGGACGCTAATTTACTCAAAATTGATACACCCCGGCTTACCATCTAGCGGAAGGTTTCGGAAAGGTGAAAAAACATATTTAATACTTGCGCCGGGTATTTAATGTTCGGCTCCGCCCGAACTTAGACTTTCTTACTTGTTTATTGTATTTTTTGTTTCCTACGTAGATCATATTTCCACTACTTATATTGCGTCTATCGTTTCCATTGTTTTGCTTTTCTTTGTTTACAGGTGGTGCCAACCAGAGCCTCTCTGAGCACTAAACCAACAACTTCAACTGTTCATAGTTCGATCACAGTTTGCATGTACATAAATCTATATGTATGTAACTATGTGCTTATTCGTGCTCACATTATCATCTATAAATAATTAACTCATCGAAACTCGCATTTCAGTTGATTCCATTCAACAGCCTAAACCTGTTGATGGCTGTGAGCGCGCGCGCGTGTGCATCAAGTAATTCGTTCCCCTGTACACATACATATATAACGACATAAATACCAAGAAAATAGTAATATATAAAAATAAACGTTGAAAAGTGTATTTAGTGTGTTTTGTATTAAAACAAATTTTTATAAATATATACAGGTAAACAGAAAGAAAGCAGTTGCAATGAATAAATTAATAATCTTTTATTTGATTAAAATGTTTTAATTGGAATCGGGTGTAATTTAGTTGATTGATAACATCAAAATATCACAAGTTGGCATAATAATGACAAGCTTGCATTTAATGACTTTTAATTGAAATGTTAAACAAACTACATATGTACATTGTACCCTGTCGCGATGTATGTGCCAAAAAGAGTTCAATTTGTTCCAAGCGATTTTTAACACTCACTAACAGAGTATTTCAGGGAAGAAATTTTTCGGCACCCTGCAATAACGGCTAAATCAGTTTTTATTGATATCCGATTTCTATAAATGATACACTGCCGTTTAGATATTAAAAAGCCGACATGATTCCCCCATAAAATATTATCCTATCATTTCAAATTAAAAATTTATATATTTTTTGTAAAAACGACACCCAGTAATCAATAGTAAGACGCTTTAAAATTTACTCCTATTCAAGCCTAAACTTCTCAATCGACAAACGTTCATTTATCATAAATAGTAATATAATAATCAAACGAAACTTGTGAAGAGATGCTACTAAGTATAAGATATAAATAAAGAAAATGAGGTCCATAACGCTACCAGATAAAGTACAACCCTATTAGGCAGCTAATCGGTGAGCGCCGGGAGCAATGTTGAAGAACATCGCAGTCCTCTTCGCAAACTGTAGAACCTTGTCAGGCAGAAAGCCTGCACCCAGGGGACTGATTCGCAGTGTGCAGGACACTCACATAGAATATGCCCCACTGTCTCCCCTTTCATTTGCATCTCCTATAGATCTTAACATTGGTCAGCGCCAGATGAAAGTAGTATAATCCTAGACACCTTGCAACCTTGCGTTTTAGTACGCGCCTTTTTCGCATGCCGGATCATTGGCAGGCCTAGCTCCCGTATAATTACTTGGAGGCAAATCGACACTTCCTCTAACAGCATAATTTCCGACAGGGCGCCTTCTTTGGCAAACCTGTCGTCCTCAACGTTTCCCGCGATGACGGTGTGCCCCGTAATCCAGTACAGATGCACGTCAGTACCAGTATGTAACAATCCAGCCTAACTGTCAATGTAGGGATTTACCTGTTTGTTTATTTACTAGGTTGCTTTTCAGTAGATCCGCCGCTCTTCTTATGGCCAATACTTTCGTCTGAAAAATGCTGCAGTAGTTCGGCTGCTTATAGGATTTGTTGAGACCGTCTGTGTAGACATTCAACGAGCCAGCACTCTTCATACCCTCATGTGTTTGATCCATGATCCTATTTAAAACGTTCCTTTGTATATATATACATACCCAGAGCCGCCAAGAGAAAACCCGGACCTGGTAGTAAATATATGTGAGCTCGCATCCCCACACAATTTTTTTAAATTGTTTAAGGAATATCCAACGATCTTATGAAGCAACTATTCACAGAGGGCTTTGCAAAACAGTTGTACATACAGTTTTTGCTGCAGCTACACATATGGCCGGAGCACAAAAAACCTTTGTACTGCCAATTATTTCGATCCCATTCTCGGTTCTATGAATGTATTTTTGAAAACTCGTTTCCCGATGCTTAAAAACCAAACAAAATTTATCAATTACGATAAAACCCCAAAAATGTTCTTAAAACTCAATAAAACCAAAATATTTTAGACTAAATTAAAACCAATAATTTTATTGGAAAGCTTATTAGAAATTTTTAGGTGATAAGGAATTTTTACCCCCATGCAAATATGAGGTCGCTGTGGCTGAGTGGTTAGAGGTGAGTACTACCACTCCGTAAGACCTGCGTTCGAGCCGATGCTCGAGCAACATTTAAATTAGAAAACATTTCTTTTTATAACAGCAGTCACCCCTCGGCAGACAGTGGCGAACCTCCGTGTGAATTTCTGTCTTGAAAAGGCCTCTCATAAAATCCATTAGCCGTTCGGAGGCGGCGTAAAACTGTAGGTCCCTCCATTTTGTGTAAGAACATCAGTACGCACGCCATAAATTGGAGAAGAACGTCGGCCAAACACTTAAGACATGGGTTAGCGCCAAAATATTATTATATTATTCATAAAATATCTGAAAAATTCTGGGCCCGGAGGAAACGCACCTATCGCCATTTTCCAAGTAAATAGTGTTGTTTCGAAAGAAAGAGCAAGTTCTTTTAGAGAATTTCTTCTAAGTAGGTACTTATTTTGTATAATTTATGTTTTCTTAAGGAACTCTTAGATGAGTCCAGTCGACCACATATTGAGGTCGAAACATCGACTTTAAAAATTAATGAACTAAAACCTGTGTTTTATGTATTCTCTGGGCCTGGAGCTGATCAAATAAAAATTACATCAGTTTACAATTTAAATGCCGATAAACAAAAACAAAATTTTTTTTTTAAATTGTACAAAGTGGGATTTACACGGATTTTGTTAAAGAAACTATATTTTTGTTTCAAAAAAAGTAACCAAAATGAATTAACAACAAAAAATAGTATCTTAAAACTCGTCAAAATGTGTTGCGACTAAAACTTCTCTCTCTACAACTCTATGTATGTACGTATGTATGTATATTGGCACCAATACTTACCCTGCAGAACAAAATGTATCAATTGATAAAAAATAACCCACTTGTAGTTAGCTTTTTTGAGAGATTTCTATATAACCTGTAGTTAGCTACAATATTTAAATATCCCGCACTCTGCCAATACTTTTTCGAATTGAGGACAAATAAAAGGGAGATTGAAATTTCAAATTATCATTATGAAGTCATGTTTGACCGAGTTAGGATATGGGACCACCTACAGCAGAATATGCAAAATAAAAATATATAAAAAAAAATATTAATTAAAATTATTGATATTTTGTCCAAAAGTAATTAGTTACGTCAAATGCAGAGGTAACCACCTTTGACTACATCTAATGCAGCTAGCTTTCGTGAAAGAAAATATACAGATATTAAGTGACTTTTAGCTCCTTCCCAATCGACTTAAAGTTAGCTTATAGTTAGATCCATTTCCTGCAGGGTAGCGTCAGTTATTACACGTTTGCATATTTTATTTTAGCAATAAAGTTCAAACACATTAGTAGTCAAAATCACTAACTACAAAAGAAAAGCCTTTTACGATGCCAAAAAAAAACTCAATAACTGCAGTAATAATCTTTACCTGCAAATATTTTTGTTAAAATTTGTAGATAATTATATATTCAGTTTCATGAAAGCTACCTGCGACAATTTATGGCCCTTTTATCTTCTTTTTTTAAAAGGTCGATAATAGTAAGCTTAAAGGAAAAACAGGGTTTTTCCAAAAAAACTGTACCTAAAAATTTTACCTGTCACCCACGATTTAATATTTAGCTTATTATACTCGTCGTACATATAAGATAGTTTCAATGGTTACCGAGTCTTGTTACAAAAATCATTACATGGACGCAACTAAAATGCTACATTTAATAACAAGGTTGCGAGTACTTTTCTCTGGTATAGCAATTAAGACATAAAAGACCAGTTAAAATGCCAAAGTACAGGAATACAGATATTAGTCATGACAAAACTGTTTTTTTTTTTTACAAAATTGCACTTCATTTCCTATCCAGTACGACAAAGCGCAACCAATTACCTTAGAACATGTAATTTATTTCTGTTTATGTAGAAACTAACTTCAAATTACTATATATGTAATCACCTAGCAGCCTCCTTGAGATAAACCAAATGCTTACACTTTTGATAACTTTGTAAATACATAATTCAATATTTGTTGAAAGATCATCTAATTTTGGGCAATTAACTATTGCAGCATTTAATGCTAAGTAATTTTAAATTGGTTGAAAAGACAAAAGAAACACACTGACTTTGAAGTGCTTTAAGCCAAATGCATTTTAAATTGTTGAAATCAAATCCAGCGTCGGATAATTGACAGCTTCCTAGGACATCGCCATATTCAAGTAAACAGTTCGTTCCAAGGATGAAAATCAGATCTTCAATTACGCATCGTTAGTCGTCAGTTGCGCATCGATATTTAAACTAGTTTCTTTCCGTACTGGGTACAGAGCGCCGTATGCAAATATGAACATACATATGTATACGTGCTCGTACGTATTTGGGTGTCCAGTATGTCATAAAAAGTTAAATAAATATAATAATGTGCATGTACTATATGCATATGCACAAACCTAACTTCAAGTTAATTCATTAATTGTCGTATGTAATACCCTGCAATAATCTCTCTAATTTACATACAATACTCGTACATATGTATTTACATATTTATACAGTTCCAATAAAATTATTAATTCTAATTACACTTTGTATTCACTTAACAAAAATTCATACCAGCTCAAAGTCTAGAATTTTTCCAAGTTTTGGAGTGACAAAACCCAAAAAATTAATCCTATAAGCAGAATATTATGTTGAAATAACTATTGACTTCATCGGGAGTGAGTTATTTCACAAAGGTTCTTAATTTGTTGATGATAATCGAGGAGTGCAGTTTTAATCAGGGACGTGAACCGGATGAAAAATTTGGTCGGTTCGGTTCAGCTGTTCGAACCGTTGTTGCACTTTTGGATTGTTTCGTCAAAACGGTTTTTTCGGTCTTTGAACCGGGGTTTGGGTTCGGTTTAACGGTTCGAAAAACAAAAAAAAAAAATAAGGCGCAAATTTAGGTGTCAAGTGTCAAGTGCAACAACGCGCAAGGTTAAGGGTTAAGTGAGATGGGCTGCCTTTACATTTGATATTGTCACATGGTTTTCGGTTCGGATCAAACATTTGTGGACAATTTCGGTTCGGTTAATGGTTCAGAAAAAAACGGTTTTCCGGTTCAAAAACGGTTCGGTTCAAAACCGGTTCACGTCCCTGGTTTTAATACAAACCCATCAGCGATAGTTTTATCATACCGAAGTAACCCACAGGCCTTAACCCTAATCGTCTCTGTAAGAAAATTTGAATCGATCGTCCATTGGAGACTCAAACGCGATAGGTTGGCAGTCATCAGCGTTGTGTCAGCTGTTTTAGAAGTATTTTTTTGGCATATATGTACATTTACAAAATGTTTTTATAGTAGAATCGTGATAACTAACGCTTATAGAGCTAAATCATAGTAAATCTTTGATTTGTATTTTTCAATATCTTATTAAAAAAGAAAAATTTTAAGGAACAATTCTTTATTTTTTTTCATGTAAGTTACCATCTCACCGAAAATCACCCGCACAAACCTCTATCCTTCGTACCACCGCGATGGACCCGTCGTCATATGACCCATATCGATGATTATGCAGGTCGAGACCCTTCATAAAACGGAATGCTTCGGGCAAGCTCGGGAGCTATTACGCCTAAGCTACTGCAGTTGAAAGCCTGCCAGGCAAAGCGAATAAGTCTGGTGGTAAGCTCTTGCCAACAAGTGCTACTTTGTACTGAGTAGGCAAATCACAAGTCAAGTCCTCTCCCGACGTATCAGGCCGAATCTGAACAGAAACTCCCTGGAAGTTGTCGCTCTTTTCCCTTTCCTCCTATCATGAATAAAAATTCTCTGAAGATATTTCATATTAAATGGCGGAGTTGAGCTGTCAAAAAAGTGTCAAACAACTTTTTCAAAGTTCGAATTTTCTCCTCCCAAATTTTCGGAGAAAATGCTACTCCCTGGGAGTTAATTATTAGAGGATTTCTTTCTCGGGAGAAACAAATTCCCGGAAAACAAACTCCCTGGGAGTAAGCAAAATTTGGCTGTATATGGCTCTTGGAGTATTCCGCAAGAAGATTAATGGGCTTTTACGCATTGGCGTTGGCAGTTACTGCAGACAGACCAGGCGGAGAAGGACTTGATTTCACTTGGCATTTCCAATTGGCATAAAAGAGAAACGGCTAGCGTGCTGTTTTGTACTCGGCCAAAACCGCTAAGGCGGTTACAGCGCCAATAAAGAAGCAGAACGAATAAATGTATCCTTTATTGAGCTCTATTATAGCACATCTACCAAAGTATTGTATTAAGATATATGTAGTCTTAACTAAAATTTCAACTTCAAGTAGACATCAAGGGACAAATTTAACAGGATATGCATATAGAATTTCGCAGAAAAAAATCCTTTTTTTTTTACTGGGACCCCCTAATGGAATTTAATTTATACATACATACATATGTACTAGTATATTTAGATATTTATGACTAAATATTAGGTACTTACTTACCTTCAATTTCTGTTCTCATTTCAGTGTGTAAAAGCAGTTGAGGAATTCTAAACAAAATGAAGTTCTCGATGAGCATATCTACCATTTTCATTGCCATATTGGCGCTGACAAATGCCACCGAAGTTGGCAAGTGTCCAAAATGTAAGCCAAATAATTAAAAACACCCACATGTATGCTCATGTATGGTAAAAAAATTTTATGGAATCATATTTCTTTTCTCCGCTTTACAGCTACAGCACGCGCCTTGACTCCGGACGAAGTGAGTATCTCCAATTGTCCTAAAAATAAATGCACACTCAAGCGCAACACAGAACCCAACATTGAGATGAAAATTAAACCCGAACGCGATTTCGCCGAGCTCAATTCCGATATACAGGGCATTATTTTAGATGTGCCACTGCCATTCCCCGGTTACTATGGCACCAGCGCCTGTCCGTACATTTACGATGCTGAGGGCAAAGAGAAGGTGGGCTGTCCATTGAAAGCCGGTCAGACGTATACCTACAAGAATAGCTTCAAGATTCTGCCAATCTACCCAACTGTGAACTTGGTGATTCACTGGGCTTTGGGTGATAAACAAGGTGATGCTGTTTGCTTCCAAATACCAGCTAAGATAAAGGCATAATTGTGAATGCTGAAAATATGCAGATTCGATTTGCTGGCAATTAAAACATTTTTTTTGTGATAAATTTTTTACTTGCTTACATAAGTAACTGTATTGTGGAAATTAAATGTATGTATTTGGATTTGTTGGTAAATCAAATAAAATACAGTACGTACATATTTTCTGCAACCAAGATGTGGCAATTCAAAAATTTAAGTTCTAGCTTATATTTACATGTGTATGTGTATGTACATAGGCATGTATGTATGTCTGTCTTCATACAGCCAATACAAATTGAAGTATGTATAAATAATATTGATGCATCCAGCCCCGCTGCATCAATATTACAAAGTAGCTTCGTATTAAGTTTACTTTTAAATTAGAGGCGATTGTAACCTGAACGAGTTGTTTGTATAAGTGTACACGTAGCCTGTGTATAAACGAAAATACGGCAAAATACATTTAGAGGAATTTTGGAAAAAAAAATTTACAATGCTTCTTATACATAGATAGTATTAGCTTAATCAACGCGTAAAATACACAAAAATATTTTTCTTACAATAAAATGTTTACATTTAGAGCCTTTGAAAGTAAGTATGTGTGTGGTTCCAATATTTTAGTATTTAATATTGTTTAACATTTTGTGCACTTGAAGCCAACATATTTGGCATGCGAATGTGTGTAAGTTTGTATTTACATGCGCTTATTTTGACGAATATCTCATCTTTTAATTAACTTTGCTGTAGTAGTCATCCACGACTCTGTGTGTGTCCGTTAAGTCATCAACCATTTACTCGATCAATCTTTGCAGTTTCGAGTTCTATTGAAAGTCATAATAAACTCCGATGTCATCCAATCTTCTTCCGCCTGCCAGCGGTCCAAATTGTTGAATAAACTCACTCTCGGCATTTCGATCTGGTAACTCGAGTGATACGGCATCAGTCAACGCCAACGGTGAATTGCCGAAAGTATGCCGCAATCCAAATATGGGCAACTTTCTCCAACGTTCAACATATTTGGGATACTTGCGTTGCTGTTGTGTCTGTCGCGGCGGTTGTAGGTGCCGTTGGAGTTCTTCACGCGAGTCAGCAGCAATGCTTTCACGTTTGCTGTTGTCGATCGGTGAGAAATTGCTGTCACCCGAACTTGGGTGCGCCGTAAATTTCAGCCGCCGTAATCTCATGCGTGCTTTGCTAGAATCATTCGAGCCGGCCGAGAAATCTTCGGCACTCAAAGCGTTGTGCGATGAACTCTCTGCCGAAGTGGGTACCTCATCGATATCGAACTATGTAAAGAAACAGAAAAATAGGCAACAATTATCAATGGAAAGAAATTTATTATTGCCTTGGTGACGAATCGGCAACATCATTTCGTTCATGCACTTTAGCAATATGTTTTCAAAAATCCCCAAAAAGATGGTTTCGCTTGATTTTATTTAAGCCAAAGTTAGGATAGAAAAAAATCAAATAAGTCGTTCATTCAATATTTAAACTACATAACAAGACCTAAAGTTTCCACTGTGCAAGTAGTTATAAATTTGTGATCGATTTTAAGCGATCGATTAAATCAAAAATCAAAACTTATCGAGACACATTCTATGGGTCTAGGAAGAGTAATTTTGTACTTTTTAGTCCATTTATATAAACGAGCTATGTATATTAAAAGGTTTTTTATTTGATTTTTTCCTACTTTTTAGTGTGGTCTGTACAAAATTTTACAGTATTTACTACGTTTATGTGTTTCTTTATTTCACTAAATTGGAACTTAATGAGGAGAGCGACAAAGCAGTGGTAAAGAAGGGTTGCCTAGCAGCCAATGTTTAACTGCCTCCGGGTGGCTGACCGGTTTAGAGGCGCTATTCTACGCCCATGACACCGAGGGTGAGGAAGTCAAGGAGGTATACGTGGATGTCACGATGGTGGGGGTTAAGCGCACAGATTCGCATGAAGCTAACCCAGATAAACCTTCACCATTCTACAAATCTTGTAGTCCGCCTGTCTTCCGGTGGGCCTGACGTTGCCCTCATCGAAGAGCCATGGACACGGCGTGTTTTAAGCTAATTTCCGCATAAAATGCAGGTAAGACACGCGCCTGTATTTTAGCAAAGAACAATATTAACATTGTTTTGTTCTTTTACCTTAGCAACAGTGATGGTAGCGGCATTAAGCTGGACAAAACTATCTTCTGGTTAGCCTCTGACTACATGGCCCATCAAAAGGACTCAGCGTCGATACTTTCGTTATTATTTTCTTCTCATTCGAAATATTGCCGAAAGTGTCGTTCCCATTCTGTTCTTCTTGAGAACGTTATCGAGAGCTTTGCTCGCATTTTGTTCTTTACGGAAACGTTCCCGAAACTTTTGTCCTCATTTTGTTTGCGTGGTAACGTTCTTGACATTACGTTTTGGGCTCGTGCAGAACTAAACCAAAACTAGAACGCGTTACCGGTCCCTGGATATACATACATGCACAGTCAGCGTCAAAAATATAATTACCCTGACAAGAATCAATTTTTCTAATGTCATACAGAGCAAGAAAATGCAAGAAATACCAAAAAAAAATGTATCAAAATTAAACAAAAAATTCGAGTATGCAGTTGTGTAGCTAATTAATTTTCAGTTGAATCAAATGTAAGTTTCAAATCACTAAAAATTACCGTTGATTTTTGGGATTTTTTTTTTTTGTCGAGGGTGTTGCGCATTTTCTTCCATATAACGCATGAACAAAATCTATTTTTATATGGAAGATCGTGCTACACCCGCGAAAATTTTATGGGCTACAAAACTGCATAGTCGAAATTTTTCTAAGAAATCGAGTTGAAAATTTTAAAGTTTTGATTAAAATTTTTTGGTATTGCTTGCATATTCCCGACTTCTGTATACAATTAAAAATATATATTCTTCTGGTTTTCGCTGTTGAATAATTTATGTATATATATTTTTTTAAATAAGAAAAAATTTGTGTGGAAATATAAATAAATAAAATCGTGAAAACGTCGGGGAGTTCATGTTTTTGACGCTGGCTGTATGTAGTATTTAAACTATTACAAAAGGATTTATGGAATACATATGTATGTACATATGTAAGTGTTTAAGTAAGTATGCTTGGTACTCACCTTGTTTGAAAAAATTTCATTTACGTTATCTTCACCCAACAGATTTAGCTGGTTGCCGTGTAGATTTCTTGGCTCAGAATCCCGTTGGCCTTTATGGCGTGTAATCTCTTGGCCAGCTGAACGTTTTCCATGCGCTGTTAACGGTAAAATGTATTAGGTGCCAAATTAAAGAATGTAAAACAAATGTTTTTCATACTCACCACCCCAGCATGAATGTCCATACTCCAAACAAGAACCTGTAGGGAGCAAAAAAAAAGAAACACGTAAAGTAAAAGTGTTTAGTAGCAGTTTACAATCTGTCCAAGTCCCCGCTTCCGCCTCCACTTATTTAAACGTCAAATTCAATTAGGAGTTACTTCCCCACAGTGGCTATTTTAAAAGTACAACAACTAAGCACATCATAGAACATATCCGAACTCATAAATAACAATTTGCCGCAAACTTGTTGCTGCACTTTTCCCACAACCTCCACGCAATTCTTTTCTGCTTTCATTGACTGCATTCAACTTAAAACCGGGTATTTATAGCAATATTTTATGTGCGCCCGCTGTCGTTGAGTTATTTTGATTGAAAAACAAATAAAACTTTTCGTTCTCGCTCTTATTTTCGTGGTTGTCTTTTTATTAAGAATTTCTTCCCAAAAGTGTAGTCTACGTCATTGAATTAATTTTCGAGCGCTTTAAATATTTTAAATGAATATTCAAATATTGCAATTGTTAAATGAAAAAACCCAAGACAGCCGGCAAAAAAATTAAAAAAAAATAAAAATCAACTGGAATTTTTAGCTGCACACTCTTGGTTATACTCAAATATTATGGGCTATAAAACTCAATGCCTTAAATTGTTATACAAATTTAGAGTAAAATGTTCGAAATTTAGACGAAAATTTGTTGAATTTTCTAAATGTTGTATTTATCTTGAATTCTTGATTTTTATGGGTTTGGTTTAAGCGCAAACAATATTCTTACACAAAATAAAATACCAAAAAAATTTTACTTGAAAAACATTGTGAGTATAAAAAAAATCTCCAAGCGTTTTTTGAGTCACTGTATCTGTCTATAATAACTCCAGTTGAAGTTTTTTCAAACGATGAAGTTTCCTTGTTGCCTTTAGTTCCATCACTTTCGCTTTTTGTTTAAGGTATAAATAGTTAAATTGAAACTAAATAACTAAAAAAAATAAAAAAACGTTATTGGTAGAAATTTTCCAGATTTGGTAGATTTTTTTCAAGTAGAAGGTAAGTATCTTTTTTGTCAGTGGCAACCCTGATCATGATATCAATAAATGACCGTTTGACGCACAAACGTTTTCTACGTGTTTGGCCGAGTACGGGAAGTCATTGACCTCAAGTACCCCGTTCTAGTACTTACCCATCAGATCTCAGTTCTTCTCACCCGAACTTACTACCCTAATATTAGTAAATTTAAATTCATCAAAACTCGTTAAACTTTTGCTAAGTATTTGAATTAGTCTAGCAGAACTATTTAAAAAATTTGTTTTTTTTTTGCCGAATCAGACTCAGCGGCGACCTATTTTTGTTTGCTTATAAGCTGGTGCACATATTTACACATTTTCCTGCAAATCAGAGCAATGCGTTTCACTAAGAGTTTTCTTTTCTTTTAACCAGGTCATTTAATTCCGCCGATTTATTTAAATTTACTTGTACAATTATCGGATAAAACACGAATCTTTTAGATATACTCGCAATACATATAAAAGCGATCACAAATTCATTATTTTATGCTGCAAACCGTTCGTGATTTATGAACTTATTACTTTCTTATATCCCGCAGGGTTTCAAAGCCTTCGCTTTACGCTGTGAGCAAATATTTCTTTCGTTTAATAAATATGTAGTTATTTAACGCAAAATTAGCAAGAAGGCGGATTTCTCTTATCACGAATTTCATAGAAACGACTCTCGAGAAAAGGAGGTTGAAAATTTTGGAGCAAAAAAGTGAAAAGTGAACAGACCGAATGCACTTGTTGCAAAATAAGGAGCTCATTCGTGCGGACAATCAACAGTGGTTTATGTATGTACATTAGGGTGGTCCAAAACTGCTTGTCACCCCCTAGGATTGTTCTATACCGAAAAAATATACCCTTTTTTATTTTTTTATTTTTAAATAAAAAAATTTACAGGTCGCTCAAAGCGCCAAAACCGATTGGTAAAGCAATAAACTTTCGTTAAATAGATTTCCATACAAAGTTTAACAGTTTATTTATCAAAATGATGAATTTGTCATTTTATCAAGTTTGTCAGGAGTTTATCATTTTAGATGAAGATTATTGAACTTATATTACGATAAAGCGTTTTTTAAGCGGCAGCTGAGATAGGCGATTTTGAACCAAATTCACAGATAGGGCGTCCTTCAAAAATTTTATAAGATAATGCTTTTTCGAACTGGCAGCCAAGACGGTTTTTTTCTCAAGAGTTCCGAAAAGTTTTCTGTGCCAGGTTTGGAAGAAATTGGTGGAGCGGTAACCGAGATATACGAGATAAGTGAACGTGACAACGCCCATTTTCCAAAAATTTATAATCTTATTTTTCGCCAAAAAAAAATCATTTCAAATATTAATTTTGAGTGAATAAGCTTACCTATTTACTAAAATATCGCAGTTTTCGTATTTCTGAAAAGTACCGTTATATGGGAGGTAGTCGTGGTTATCGTCCGATTTTTCTCATTTTCAATACCATCCGTCCTACGCAGGGCCGGATTAAGGCACAGACTACATAGGCGCTAGCCACATTATTATACTAAGTGAAAAAATTATACATTCAAAAGAGGAGGCACTGAAGGCGAGTCAATCAAAGCCATATTTAGTTCGTTTTTTACCCTATTCGAAGGGTATTCACCTTGTAGCACAACGTTATATAAGTACTAAATAGCTAATTTTCGTCGAGTCGGCGGCAGGCAGACGGAGTACGCGTGCCACCGGCACAGCCATAGGCATCGGGTTGATACCACCCACTCCCGCGGGCCGCAGTTTCGGCAGCCTTGATCTAAGTGATCAGGAATACAAATTTGAGATGTTACTTTGGGTAACTTTTATACTTTTTATAAGTATAAAATCCGGTCTACGTACAACTTTGGCGTCGATTTGCTGTTCGCCTCGCTCGTCAAAACAACGGTACATGACTGTCTTTCAACTCACCACAGTATGTCGAAAGACAAAAGCGAATTGTGGTAACTATCTTGAAAGCTCTTTACTGTATTTCTGTATTTCGAAAGTCTATATGAAAGATCTGTTGACGAGGAGGTCTTAGCTATGCTGTTCGCCTTTTAAGAACCAGCTTCTTTTATTAATTTAAATTATAAAATATATATGTATGTGTTTTCTTTTTAAAATAACAAGTAATTTTTAAGCACAACAAAACCGACTTCAAAACTTAGGAGTACCGTTAATTTTTTCATGATGCAATGATCGGATCTAAACCAGATTAGTATGGGACCACCTCTGAGACACATTTCCGATGCAAAAACAATTATCGAAATCGATAATTTGATATTTGCACAGTCTAAATCGGAATAGGTTTTTCTAAGTACAAAATATTAAAAAACCTGTATCCAAAATCTCTGTAAGAAACACTTCCATCACTAAATAACTATTGCTTGGGCCATAATAAAGACCTGTCGTCTTAATATGGTGTACATAATTCCTTGAAAGTAGTTTGACTTAAGGCCGTTACGCTTTGAATGCATTTTTTACAGTTTTTATTATATCACCTCAAATCTTTACTATCCTGCAGAATTTTACTACCAACACTATTCCGTGAATCAGAAAGTAAACTCAATGATTTCGTAGATGATATACGGCTTCTATTAGCGTAAAAGCTGCATAACCTTAGACTAACTAACAGCCGGTACACAACCACAATGGTAATGGACAAAACTAGTACATAAGACACTGTTCATACAGAAATATGTAGTATGATAAAGAAAGAAATAAATCCTACACTCTTGCAAGCATTTCTAAAGGTGAGCACATGTGTCAGCGATCCTTATTGAAATGAATGAAGGTGCCTTATACATACATAGTATGTACATACGTGTGTGTGAGAGGCAAGTGTAGGTAGGGTTGAAACGATACCATGCAGGTATCGATAACTTTACTTTTAAGTATTATCGTAAGAAAGTATCGAATCCTACTCGTATCGGTACTTTGGAAATGGTACCATGGAAATGGATTTCTTGATGCAAGAACAGCAAAAATATGTGTTCAAAAAAGTTAGTTACATTCGTTGGTTTCAGGAAAAAGATGAACTTCTTCAATATTTGAAGGCCATTTTAAAGGTCAAGGTATTTATTCAGTCCAATGGGACTCCTTTTCCTGAATATTTCATTTCAAAAGCTTTCAAACACCGTTACATTTGTTTTGTTACCTCTTCTCGTTCTCGAGATTTTTGATAAGGTATGTTTTCTTTAGAACACTCAGCCCCACATTATCGTTGGTTTCTTTGGCATTTGAACAACCATAAAGTACTGGGCGAATCATATTAAAAGTTCAAGTGAATGAAAAAAATTCCAAAAGAAAATTCGCCTTGGTATCGGGTTTCGATACGAGTATTTTTCTTTCGTTATCTACTCATTACTTGGTTCAAAGGTATCGATACCAAAATTACTTGGTATCGAACGAAAAGTATCGAGTATGTACTCGTATCGTTTCATGCCTAAGTTTGGTATATTAGCAACATGTTGAATGCTACACAAACTACAGGTACTTCCATGGAGAATTATTTGTCATGGTTTATGAACGCAAAAATAATGGACGATGTTAGTTATTGGCGTATATTAGGGTGGTCTAAAAGTACAAACTTTGCAGTATTTATTTGCATTGTACGCAACATCTTTACTAATGATTTCGCGCCCTATTCCCACAGCATTGACAAAATTTATCGTATGACTATTGTCACAATTATTGCGCCTAAAACACAATCTCAATATTGTTTCGCCGTTGTCGCGTACTCTGTAGGTCATAACAATAACAATGAAAATTGTCACCATTATAGAGTTTAAAATAAATTTGCGGCATAGTTATTAGACGCAGTAGTAAAGAAAATAGTCAGCCGCTGGGTTTTGTCATTAAGGTGGGAATAGGGCCGTACATTTCATGAAATGATTTAGCGAAATGAATAAACGCATAAACGCAAAATTCTATACAAATAAGTCTAAAAAGTAGAAAAAATCAAATTAAAAACTTTTTAATATAGCACGTTTCTATAAATGGACTAAAAAATAGAAAATAATTTTCACCAGACCCATAGAATGTGTCTCGATAAATTTTGATTTTAAAATTTTGGCAAAATTCAATACAAACATTTTACG